CATAGTACATTGATAGCGAACTGCCAGAGGTTCAAGTCAGATTCAGAATAGGATGTAGAATAAGGATATCATTGCTGACATGAGATGAATCTTAGCTGGAAGCAGAGAATACCAGAAAGATATTTACCTGTACTTTATTGGCCAAAAGACTTTCAAATATGTGTGGATCATGACAAGTTATGAACAACATTGTGGAAAATTAGTATACTGGAACTCTTAATTGTGCTCATTAGGAACCTATACTTAGACCAAGAGGCAGACGTTCAAACAGAATAAGGGAACACTGAATAGTTTAAAATTAGGAAAGGTGTGCACCAGGGTTGTATTCTTTCACCATACATATTCAGTCTGTATGCTGAGCAAATAATTTAAGAAGCTGGGTTATATGAATATGAACATGGCATCAGGATTGAAGGAAAACTAATTAACAACCTTGTTTGCTGAAAGCAAAGAACACTTTAAAACACTTACTGATGCTGATCAAAGACCACACAGCCTTTGGCATGGGTTGCACTTCAATGTAAAAAAAAAAAAAAAGTCCTCACCAGTGCAGTGTACTAATAAATAACATCAAGATAAATAGAGAAAATATTGAAGTTGTGAAAGACTTCATTTTGCTTGCATCAACCATCAACACTCATGGAAGCCACAGTCAAGAAATCAAATAATGTATTGCATTAGGCAAATCTGATGGATTCGAAAATTGGACAATGAATAAGGAAGGCCATAAAAGAATTGATACATTTGAGTTATGGTGTTATAGAAAAATATTTAAGAAGTCCCATGGACTTCCAAAAACAAATTTGTGCTCAAAGAAGTACAACCAGAATGTTCCATAGAAGCCAGGATAGCGAGATTTCATGTCTTATACTTAGAACGTATTATCAGGAGAGACCAGTCTCTGGAGAAGGACATCATACTTGGTAAAATAGAGTGACAGCGTAAAAGAGGTAGGTCCCCAAGGAGATAGACCAGTATAGTGGCAGCAGTCATTGGCTCACGCATAGTAATGATTGTGAGGTTGGCACAGGTACCGGCTGTTTCATTCTGTTGTGCATAAGGTCACTATGATTCGGTAATAGCTCAATGATGCCTAATAACAACAACAACAATAAGGCAAGAAAAGGAAGCTAAAGGCAACCAAACTGGCAAAGAAAAAGCAAAACTGTTTGCAGATGATACTATTCTTAGAAAATTCCAAAGACTCACTGAGTAAATTATTGGAACTGAAGGATAGAATTGGCAAAGTGACAAGGTACAAGATCAACATACAAAAATCAGTTAGATTCCTTTACACTGATAAACAGTGCTCTGAAAAAGAAATCAGGAATATAAAGTCATTTGTATTAGCCACCCCAAAGATGAAATACTTGGGAATAAATCTAACCAGAGAAACTAAAGTCCTATACAAAGAAAATTACATTACACTGCTACAAGAAACCAAAAAAGACTTGCAAAATGGACAAATACACCCGCCTCATGGACAGGAAAACTTAACATTGCCCAGATATGACACTGTAGGATAAGCACTGGAGAGCAAGGTTGGTTTAAACCTCAAGGTCAGTACTTCAAACTCACCAGCGGCTCCTCAGAAACCATGTACAGGGTTGCTATCAGTGGGAATCAACTCAAGACACTTAATAACACCATCCAAAGCAATCTATAGATATAGTGCAGTCCCAATCCAGATTCCAACATCTTCTTTAAAGAGATGGGGAAAAAAATGATTCACTGAGGTGCCCAAAAAGAAGCAGCAGCACTGCCGCTGCGATCCATTTCCAGAGTCGCCTTCCAAGAAGGGACCCATCCCCATTGGCCATCCCCAATGGAAGATGAGCCCCAGATTCTCCTTGTTTTCTTTGATTCAGATGCTGGAGAATCTGGTAAAAGCACCATTGTGAAGCAAATGAAGATCCTGCGTCCTCTTAATGGGTTCAATGGAGAGGGCAGTGAAGAGGACCTCAGGCTGAAGGAGCAACCTACATACCATCAGCTATGTAGACCATTATTTCTAAAGGATGGTTACACATTCTCATCCTCCGGGAAGTGACTGATGACAATTCACATGCTGGAATTGCTCCCTCCTTAAGAACGTCTAATAATACTATTCTGTTGTGTGTGGGGGTGGGAGGTGGAGGATGGGGCAGCTGGGAGTTCATAGAAGCTTCAATCAATCTTTGTCTTTCACGAACTCCTCATATCTCTATATGGTGACTGCTGATGGGAATGAAAAGGAACCTCTGAAATGCCTGAACGAACATCAATATGGAGGACCTGTAGCTGAATCCATGGAAAAAGACAGGAACACAGCAATTTCTGCTCCATGAAAGTTGTTACTGGGACACCTTGAGAAAATGTAGTCAGAGAAGAGATATAGACAGACTTTGGCAAGAGCTGCTAACTCAAGGTAGGACTTGCCACAAACACTCTTGTTGTCTCTCTCAGTAGTGTTTTGTCACTTTTGACATCGTCAAGCAATGACAGCAGCCACTGACTAATTGCATACTAAGGGAAGACCCAAATGGAATTACATTTTTACCTTCCATTTGGATATTTGGGGAAGATATCTTCTACTACATTATATTAAAATAATGGAACTATGAAATGTCATGTACAATATAGCAAGAAATATTCACAGAAACCATTTGCCGGCTATAATTTTAGACTAAAATAACATTTTAAAGATCCAATTTATTAAGTGCTGTAGAGTTGGTTCCGACTCATAGTGATTCTGTGAAGTGTTAACGAGGAATGTCAGGTGGGTTTGAAATGCCATCCTTGGGTTACCAGTCCAGTGTGTATGCTACAGAGCCACACGAGGACTCTTTATGTAGGAATACATATCATGGATTGTAAAAATGTCTACTAAATAGATATTTCCAACAGCTGCTAGGCAGGAGGAAAATATGGTAGTCTGCTTCTGTAAAAATGTAGTCTTGGAAACCCTATGGGGACAGTTCTACTCTGTACTGAATGGAGAGGATGGCCGTGGTTTCCTTCATTAGTACCAGCTTTCCCAGAAGAAAACTGTCACGTAATTATGATTGTTCTTAAGTGACGTCCAGTTAGTTCCAACTCATAGTGACCCTGTATAGGGTTCTCAAGGAGCGGCTGGTGAATTTGAACCACCAACCTTGTGGTTCACAGTCCAATGGTTATCCTACAGCAACACACCAGGAATGCATAACCATCTCTTGGGAAGCAACTTAGAGATAAGAAGATTTTTGAAGACTAGATTTAAACAAAAACTCCTATTGGCATTGACTGACTTAACTGTGACAGGCTCAAAATCTTTTCAATATGGAGGCAGGATATAATTATTTGAATATTTTATTTTGACTTTACATGCGGTGTTAAAAACCCAAAGTACATATTATTTACACATCCACAATACAAGTTTACAAGATATCTATACATGTTAAAGTACTCTATAAAACAGTATAGAGCCACTTCACTTTAGGGTTACTTTTTATACCGTATCATTAAAAAAGATACAATCTGTGTTTACCTTTGCACAAATGGATAAAGCATTTAAAAATTAAATTAACAGGATAGAGACTAGATTTCATGTTAGAAATTTCAACATAAATACTGATAGAACTCACAAACTACAAGGCAGCAAAATGTTACAAAATGTTATCCGGGTTCACATAGTTACAGTTCCGTTTGACACACGCTGGGATTAATATTGGTAAGGTGAATTCAAACACGTTTATAGTGGGTGGACTGAGTAGTGTTTATCATTTGTTGGTTTAATTTATTATTAATCTTTAATATTTTAGTTGCAAAGCTGAAGTTTTTCAAGAACAGAAGGTTTAGCTTTTGAGATTCCAGAGACCTTAGGGAATCAATATTTTCAAAGGAAAAGAATGACCATACCAGTGTTCTAGATACTGTATTAAAATGCTCTGGTCTTCTGCAAACCATCCTCCCCCGTTTTATATATATATATATATATATATATATATATATATATCATCTATCATCAGCATTATCAGGAGAATCAGTTGAACTTATTTGTCTGGATAAATCTGAAGCATGCTTCTGCCTTGATACTTTCTAGATTAGGTTCAGTAAACAACTGTGTGGTGTGCAGCATATTAACTGAAACAGTCATCCGGGTTACACATCATCAACCATAAGTGGTTTCTGCAAAACTACATATAAATGACTCTATAGTTTCTGCAGGTGTCACACTACCTGGGACACCGCACTTGACTTCACATTATCACTGTTTCATCCTTTAAAAAGCAGCAGTGGAATGTTTACCATGGCCAAGGATGTAATGGTGTTATTCGGGTGGATTGTGGTACAATTATTTGTTCTAGATGGTTGGGGGGGTTTTTTTTGTTGTTATTTTTAATATTTTTTTTTTTAAAAAGTCTTTCCAGGTGCTGGCTGAAAACATTTATAACTGGCACTCGGTAAATGATGTGCTATAATGGAAACTCTTGACAGATTTGAGTACTTCAATCATTTTCATGAATAAGGCACAAAATGCACAGATCCAGGTAAACGCAAATGGAATATTTACAGTATATTGTCATCATCTGCATGACCGATGAGGAAAGTCTCACAGAACACAACATAGACAACATGAATGCACCACTGTTGTTTTCACAGACTGTTTCTATTATGCCAATTAGAATTTCATCTGTACTTCTTTCTATTACTGTTTTTTTTTTTTTTTTTTTTTGTGCTCGCTTATTTTACTTTGGGGGGTTGTTGTTGTTAAGTGTCATCAAGTTGGTTCCGACCCATAACGACCCTGTATAGGGTTTCCAAGGAGTGGATGGTGAGCTTGAACCACCAACCTTGCAGTTCAAACTGACTTTGCAGTCTAGTGCATTAATCCACAGTACCACACTAGGACTCCACTTTGGGGGTAGGAGAAGTTAGAGAAGGAAGAAATTTTACTATGTGGGAAAAACTGAATACAATCAAAATAAAAGCTTATTAGTGTATCCAAGGTTAAATAGAGTGACTCAGGTTTGGATTTGCAGTAGAGAGGTAAATTTTAGTACTGAATACTGATGGATAAATCAAAGATACCTCTTAACATCTTTATCTCCCTAAGCTGACAAGACTGTAACTGAAGGTTTCATGAATAGCAGCACAAATTTACTGAGAACTCTTACATTCCAGCACTGGGTACCATATATGTTAAGTTCATCATTTTGATCATCTAATGAACCTCAATTTTATTTCATTCTCAAAACGGAACCCAACGGACTGCTGTGGGTCGAAGTTACTGTCTCTTGTTCAGTCATGCTTAATGCAAATAACTCCATAGCACAAAAAGATGGGATGGACACCTATGTAAGTCCTAGTGGGTTCAGAACACACACACACACACACACATACTCGCAACATAGTTTGTTGGTGGCATGAAATTTTTTAAAAAATGCCACTCATGGGGATAAAAAGAAAACATCTAACGTTTGGGTCAAAGACAATTTTTCGCTAATTGTTTGGTAATCTACAAGTTCATAACCATCTTTTTTTGTCTGTTTGTTTGACATTTGTGCAAGAGGCAAGGTGAATGCATACATATTAAAATGTTCACATTGAATGGGAAGACCACACAGAATGGCAGTCTAAATTAAACCCATTTTCAAGTATTTGCTTACAGATTCTTCTGAGGACTGTATCAGCTCTTTATACTGGTAAGGCAGCCCCTCTCAGAGCTACCCATCTCTTTAGCTTCAAACAAAAGAAATGGAACAGCCAGCACCTTTCTTTGTTTTCAGGCAAGTACTCAGAAGCCTTGCTGTGGTAGCTACATGTGGCAAGTTCTGATGTTGCCAAAGTTATGAAGAGTTTCTTTGGCGACTTGGTTCTCTTAAAATACAAGTGAGTCTCTTGTCTTAAAGTACTCTTACAACATCATCCTCTCAACAACATGTACAGGATAAAGCCACATGGGACTAGCACACGTGAGGTCTAGTATGTGTATTTGTTCAGTGGTCTGACCGATGTGGTTTGAGGAACAAATGAAGGCTTTGGTGGCACATCAGGTTTTAAGGACGGTGTCCTCTTTAGTCCCGTCCTAGGAAGGGTCCCATTACTGGTGTAGCTGCTTTGTCTGGAGAGGGAAGGCTGCAGGTGAACACTCACTGGTGTCCCCTGTATATAGTCCACCTTTGCTCCTGTGGGGGTGGGCATGTATCCTCCACGGTTAATACTAGGCTGTCTGGATAATAAAACACCATTTGGTGAGTTTTTAGGCATAGCAGATATAGAGTGCCTCTGTGAAGAATTTTTGTGATAGCCCCTTTGTCTTTCCAGAGAAGTCATTGGGACTCCAGGAGTGTTGGGAACGTCCACTCGTTTGGTTGGGCTATTTCTAGGGAGAGTTGAAGGAGGAGAGTACAGCGATGCCTCCCGGTTGGGAACCTTGGGTGGAACCTCAGACATAGTTCCCACAGGATCTAGCATTAGGGTCTGGTGGGCCATTTGGATGTCGCCCATGATGGCTTTGGGGTTACTATTGGGGTCATTAAGATGCTTTAGAAGATCGTTGAGGGTATTTCTGGAATCCACAGAACGCCGGTGATCCCTTTTACTGGATGACTTCGTAAGGGGATGGTCAAGGTTTTGAAGCTTCTTTTCAGCTTTGTGAGCATTGGAGTTTGAGAAAGACGTGTTGTAGTCATGAGTAGCATTAGGGAGAACAATGGCACTGGGGATATGCCCGTGACTTAATGGGGAGTGGGGTGGAGGACTAGAAGGAAAAAACTGGGAGGCTTCTTTCCTGGATGCTCCATGGCTGTGGGTCTTGTCGGAGTGGCTTTTCATGGATGGCATGGTCTTCTGGTGTAGCACCGGTGTAGACTCAGGTGTGGGGAGGGCAGCCAGCTCTGGAGGTTGCCCTCGATGGTCCATTACCATAGATTTAGTGTCTACATTGGGTGGCAGCTCTTTCCGACTGGTCAGCAGGTTACTATACAACTTGGGAGAATCGATATTCTGTTGATATTCCTTAACTGGACTGTCGAAGAGCCCATTTAGTTTGGCAAAACTTCCACTGGAGTCTGTGCACGACTGGGCAGATTCTGCATCTTTATGGATCTTTCTGGATTTCCGAACATACATGTCACGATAGCAATATACTGCCACACCTGCAATGAATGCACCCAAAACAAAAGCAGCAAAGACACAGGTGATGAGGACATTCATGTGAACCATCTGGTTAGACTCGCCAGATTGGACTTCCCATCGTACACCTGCAACAGACACACAGGAAAAATGTTTGAAGGAGATGATTTCTTAAAATAGTATTAACCAGCAGACGGCTTCCACTCACATGGTCATATATGTGTAGGGTCAAGCAGAGTCCCAAATTCTATATTTTTTCTTGTATTACAATGGATCCCGAGAAAGATATGCTTACTGTAAATGCGAGGCTAACTCCAATCTCCCACTGATCTTTGTCTGCTTTGTTTCCCATTATCTCCTAAATTTTTTTATATAATATTAGAGATTTTGATTCAATCTAAAAATTACATAGTCTCTATTTTCTGAACAGTCAATTTTTAAAGTTATGAAATAACCTGTCTAATGACTGCCTCCTAATATAAAAGTCAGTATTAAAGCGCAACTGCGATTGTCGAAATGCGTGAATTGGCCTAAATACATATTATTGTTTTTCCTAAGTGTCATTGAGTGGATTAAATAATTATGTTAATACAGTCCTGCTAATTTCATAAGGATAAAAAAAAGCATAACATGTAATTTGTTCATACACAAAGGCAACTTCTAGGTTGATGTTAGCTACAATATAGACCCATTTATTTGCTTTTTTTAAAAAAAAATCTTGAAGTAGAGCACTTTTGAATTGCCTGCTATATCAGAAATCTAGACAGCTTAAGAAATACACTATGTATTAGTTAACAAACACCATTCAATTGCCTTGAGATAGCTGAGAACAATTTAACTTAGACCTAAAAAGGAATAGTGAATTAGTTTGAAATTATTGGCGTTTTTAATGCAACCACAGACATCTAACAGTCTATCAAAGAAATGTTAGTTTCAGAGGTATCCAAGTCTGTTACATGCAACCAACACAGCTATCCCAGAACAGGTTAAGTAAGAATAATTCGGAAGATCTGGTTGCTTTAGATTAGTACTAAGGCCTTTAAAGATTAGTTGTTTGTAATAAATGTTCAGGGTTATGGATTTCAGTGACATTGTGAAAAGACAAAGAAAGAAATGTAGAAATCAATGACTAATAAAGAAAACAGAGCAAAGAGAAAAAGGATTGCAAAATGGTTTATAACAAAAAGATATAAAATCAAAATCAACAGATGTAAATCATAAATGACAATGTACTGTTTTAAAAACTGATTGGAAACCTGGTACCACAGTTTAAGATGAAATAAAGAACAGATTTTTTTTTTTTTCTCTTCGTCTTGAGTAACATATCTAATCAGATAATGCAACAGACAGATATTTTATAACTGCTACTATGAACTGCTGAAAATGATAGTTGTGAGAACCCCACACATCCTTTTCATCTTTTATTTTGAATTGAAGTCAAACAGAAGGTGGGGAAAGTCTTCTAGACCAAACATTTGATATTGGCATTAATGTAAGCACTTGCAATGAATGAATTTGGTTTTTTGATGTTGCTGGGGTGACCCTTGAAATTCTCTGCTCTCCAGCAGCCTCTCAGCCTCTTCAGAGTGGCTGCTAATGAGAGTGGAGATACCACCACCACCAGCTCCACTGAGGCTCACATCAGGAGAACCCTCCTATGTTCATATACTCCTCAGAGAAATTCGAAACCAGGTTTCCATTCAGTTGAAAATGAAGTCCCTGGTAAGGCCTTACCCTTTGGGATATCTGATAAGGGATCAGTAAAATCAGAAGAATTTGGGTCATCTTGAACTACAAATTTCCGGGAGCTCGTCAGTTTAGGTATCCAGGACTCAATCACTTTAGGTGTAATTTCTGGGATACTTGCCGTTGGGGTAACAGAAGATGAAGATACCTCCATGTCTGTGGTGGCAAACAGATTTTATTAACATGGGTAGTGCCAGCAGAGGTTTCTGAGTGGTCTGCTGCATTTTTTAGTAAAGTTTATGTCAATATTATGAGAGAGCCTGCTCTAGGATTTTATAAAAAATACATCTGGGGAGACTACACCAAATCTCTTTCTTTCAAAGGAAGAAACTCTAATAATCAAGAATAAAAAACATATCAAGCATTTAAAAATGATTTGAAAATGAAAAAAACACAAAACAAAAAAATTCTCAAAACATTCCTATTTAATCACCTATTTTTATTATGGGCACTCATAGAAAGGAAAAACATATCCCAACCCAGATTAATTACCATTTTCTTATCCTCTTTTGAGACAACATCAGTTCATTTCTTTTTGGGTATATTTTTAGAAGCATTTTATAGATGATTAGAAACTTTGTATCCTTCACTGGAGAAGCTGTAATGTCACACCAACAGAAAATACCTGATTAAGTCCTAGTAACAACTTGACTTTGGACCTAAGAACCCTAAAAACCATGTCCTGCTTTATTTACTGTATGCTTCTCTCCACTGAGGGCCTACCACCGCTGGAAAAACACCTAGCCTGGGACCCCCAAAATGTCCAGGAATTTTTTCCCCAAAGAATTAGCAGTAATTGATGAAAAATAAATGGTATCTACCAGTCGAATAGGAGTTCTGGTGTGGTGCTGTGGGTTAATGCACCGGACTCTGCAAGGTCAGTTTGAACTGCAAAGTTGGCAGTTCTCAGAACCGACTGAATGGCACTTAACAACAACACCAGTCGAATAACGATGTTTACCTTACCCCTGCCCTAGAATGAAGCTGCTGGTTGAGTTTTAGAAGTAGCAACAGGAGCAGACTAGTTTAATTGTCTAGTGTTATCTATCACAAATTTCAGGCAAGTAGATGTCCCCTCAAAATGTAAGCAGATGCTTTTTGGCTAAAACATCAGGGGTTGTGCTTCAGACAGGTACAATGATCACTGATGAAGGTTCCACAGCAGGTACAGACAGGGGCATGTTGAGCCCACTGAGGATCCTTACTTAGTATATCAGAAACCAGCCTCATTCCGATGAAAAACCCTTTCACGCCACTGAAACTATAGCAGACAGAAATCTCCATCATGATCACCACAAACCATTCAAAAACAAAAAAAAGTGCTAAAACTTATAAATACACATTTTTGGGAAATGTGTATTTGTTTACCAGGTCTTAGGCAAGGTGAGGAGAGAAGGGGGAAGTAAGGAAATTCTGCCATCCATTAAATACAGATGGCCAGAGAGAACATTCACGATGCAGGGGTGAGAATGAAAAAAGCTTGGGGAGATGTTCGTGCAGCTGGAATGCAATCTATGTTAATCCATTTGATTTTTTTCTTAAAGAATGTGTCTTGATCAATGATGAACTGTTAACATGCTACGGAGGGGTGGGGTGCTGAGTATAAAAAATGTCTTTTGGTACCATCAGTGGGATTATGAGTCAAAGCAGAAAAATGAAGGGCTGTCAAACTGCGCAAAAGGAGGGGGGAGGGGCTGAAAATGCCAAACTGAAGGAAAGAAAAGGTTGTTAATTCAAAAAAATTAAAAAAACTAACCAGATGTTGGACCTCCAAATATTTTGTAATCTGGTGTAGTTGAAGTAGGCAAAATTTCTAAAAGAATTAAAGGAACAAGTAATCAGTGAAAAAGTAACCAAAAAGAAAGCAAAAAATTTATAAATTCCAAATAACTAAAAAAAAAATAAAATAAAAGACTATAAGTGAAAAAGATTCACCTACTGGTTAGACTACCGTTCTCTCTATTTCCTACGAAATTGTAAATGGTGAAGGAAAGAAAAATAAAGAAACAAATCAGATTCTTCTCCAGTGTATCCCCGTGATCAAGCAGCTCTGCTTTTGCGAAGTTTCAGTTAAAATGCTAGGTGGTATGTGTCCAGAATCATTAAAAAGGCCGATTGTAAAATAATGTTCACGTGCAAATGTGGTCCAAAAGAAGGTGCAGATGAAAGATTCTGTCTTACCATGGCAGTCCCCCAGGTGGGCCGTGTTGCCATATTCTGTGTCCTGTTCATACTCTCCAGCGCTGTGGTTATGGAAAGCAAAGAGGTCTTCAGTTAACAGTCTTCATAGGAACACACATGACAACCAAAGCAGAACCAAGAATACAGACTGATTAGCAAGAATGGGCAAAGAGAGAGAAAAAAAGACATTTCAACGAGTCTTTTAGCGACAAGTTTGCTAATTGGAACATCTAAGGGAGTACTAGAGAACTCCCATCCATTTTTCTCTCCATCCATTTTTCCTTAAGGTATTATATTATTCTGCCTACAACCTCCTTTCCCTTTTCACATTTCTAGGTTTGTTGCTTTTTTTCCGCCATGCAAAAAAAAAGAAAACTACAGTGTTATTGGAACTTCTCTAAAATTTCTAGCTTTACAACTTTACCCAAGTTAAAGGCAACTTAGGATACTTACAGCATTGCGGGGGTCACTCTGCCACAGGTTCCCTGGCTTAACCAGCCACAGTACGGGTCACGAGATGCAATACAAGACCTGTAGAAAGCCAAGCAGAATGTAACTTGGTCTTTCTCATCATCAAATGTCTTGATGCTGCAAGATCCAGGGTAAGTAAAGACACATCAGCTTACTTTTTACATGATCCATAGTGCTCACATCGACTGAGGGGGATCCGAATAACACAGCTAGAGAATGCCACGAATAAAGCATGGTGATCTTTATCCAGCTGCAAGGAGATGACTTTCCTGTCTTCCTCATTCTCAGCATTACACCTATTTTGTGAGAGATATTGTGAAGCTATCAGTTAGTAAGTCAACAGTTATAGGAACTATATAAGGTAAGTTTGGGTTGATTTCTGCAATTACTGAGAACTGAGGAGGTTTTCAGAGATATTCTTGGGAACAAGCCAGACAGGTGCATAGTTTGGGAAGTAAGAATTATATGATTTTAGCTTCTACTTCTCTACATGGCTGGTTAAATTTCAAGCTGGACACAGGATTTTTTAAAGATCAGTTTCCTGTTCTGATGCTCTAAGGGAAGTGCATTTGTGAAAGCCATGTTAGATTATCAGGAAGGAGGAGATACTGCTTTGGTGCACTCAAATCTTCCCATGGTAGATGTTTTGGGGTCTCTCATTTGTCTCTTTCTCGCATCTATTTTTTGTTTGGTCCAAATAATCTTTTATAACAGTGGTTAGAAGAAAACACTTAACTAACATTGCATTGTGTGTGTATGCATGTGCACACACACACACACACACACACACTTATAACCAACTGTCTGCGCTAATGTAGCATTCTAAATATACATCTGCAAGGTAAAAGGGGTGCTTCTAAAAGGATCTCATTTCCACAGGTGAAAAACAAGGGCTGAATTAATGCAGCCACATCAACTGCTCACCCTCCTTGCCCTAGTAGGCTCAGGAAAACAACAAAGCCAGGATTTATTTCAATGAAGAAGAAAAAAAACAACAAAAAAAAAACACCCAAACACTAATATGCCAAACCACTGCTAATTTAGAAGGCTGAAAGGAAATAGCTAGATGAAATATACGCCAGAAAATTTTGAGCAATGCTGAAGAGCATTCCTGTAAAATATACCTACTTTGCATGGTTATAAGCTTCAATCTCTTCCAGTAATACGCTGTCATTCAAAGAGAAGGGACTGGTCTTTGCCAAAACTTTAAGTACCATGCCAGCTTCAGAGCCAACAAAGATGACTGTGTAGTTCTGGTAGGGTCCAGCAGAATGGTCAACAGCAATGGCAGTCAATCTATACCTACAAGAAGACGAGTGGCAAGTCAAGGGGAGAAGCCAACAGGAAGAGAACATGTTTTGTGGATGTGGACCACTGTTCTCTGCACCAGCCTACCTGACTCGAGTCTTTGTGAACCAGGGCTCATCAGCAATGGGTGGAACAGCAGAGTCCATCAGGGGATGGGACTTGATAAATGACAGGGTTTCATCAGGAAAATCGATGGAAGTTTTATAAGCTTCAGCGAGACCATGCTTAGCACAACAACCAGGCCTAAAAAGAAAACAGTGGGGCTTTTGTTTTGTTTTACTCACAAAATTGAATCTAAGGAATAAGTATCCACTTTTTTAAATAAGGGTAAAAGAAAAAAGAAAGGGAGCAATGCTATTTCCCTGGATTCAAGAGGTCCTCCACCTTCACACTGGCAGAGTTGAGAGTCAGTTATGTTTACTAACTCAGTGTCTTCAGACAGTGCAGAGGGACCCCTTCCTAGCATGGCTGTCCCAGTTGCTCTCTGAGGATGGCTACCTTCAGAGATCACAGGGTTCCATTAAAGCCCAAACTCTTTTGTCTTTACCTTGGTTTTGGTACTTTGTCTTCAGGGACTGCTGTCCAAACAGAATCTGGAGTTTTCTGCTCCTTAAACCGTCCTTTAAATACTTTTTCAATGTCATCCATGCTAAACGCGCAAACTGCAGAACCAGGAATGCTGAAAAAGAAGACAACCATTAGGAAGACGTCTTGACAATGGGCCTGCTCTTGGTTCCAGCAAGCAAGCATAGAACATCTTTGAAGTGTGCACATCTGTTCTCACCTGTTGAGCTGTGTGGTAAACACCCCGACCACAGTGGGAATGCCATTGATTTGTATTATGTCTGTAATAGACTGCAGAACATCAAAGTAGAAAAACGAATCTCCAGGGACAGAACAGTTAAGCCGAGCCTTTAGAAACGAAGTCCAGTGTTTCTCCAGGACCCGCTGGGAGCCACCCATGTCATTTTTACATATACGAGCCACACGGGAATACACAGCCTGCCCAAAGGACAAAAGCAAAAGCAACAGGGATATGAACATGGAGGTGGAATGGAAACAAAAAGCTGCTATTTAAGGGATGTAAAATGTTACAGATATATCTGGTTCAAAGGAATCTAGCAGCCTTCTCTCTAGGGATCGATACAGTAAGAATACAAACGAGATTCACCTGTGAGAAAAAAAGGGCCCTTTCCCTGTTCTGCCAAACAAGTGCCACAAGAAGTGAGCTCTCTTGCTTTGTTGAATGGAAATCATTGCTATACTCTGTCTCCAACTTTTTTTTTTTTTTCATTGTTGCAGTTTTTAATGGAAGTTGTACACAAGATTATTTTACTCCTGCATCTTCTCAATCATTTCTTCCTTATATTTGCCCTTTTCCTTTCCTACTTTGCGGGATTTGGCTTTATGTTCCAGGATCTTTTTGCAATCTTTGTCCAGTTTTAGCTTAGTGATAACCACCTTGCTGGGGTGACAGTTGTGCCCTTAGCTTTGTCTCGCTGTACCCGCTCGATGTGGATGACATATTTCTTCCTGTACACCTGGACTATTTTGCCAATTTGCTGACCCTTGTAGTGTCCTCGTACAACCTGGACTTCATCATCCTTTCAGATGGGCATGGACCAAACATTGTATTTTTGCCTCAGTTCCTTGGAAAGAGGGGAAGACATAATCTTCCTGCGAATGTAGGAAGGTGCATTGAAGTACTCTTATTATAAATGGAATGTGCTGTCCTGTAAATTGGCACAGAGGGTTTGCACTACTTTTAAATCACATGGGCTTTTACTGAAACAATCAAAGCTGAACAGGGGCCCCTACTTTCCATTCTGTTTTTTGACACCGAACGAGACTCCAGCATGGATGGATTTCTAAAGAGTTAAAGAAGTACCTAAAGCACAAGGGCATCTATTGAACGCCCACTGCAGCGGCAGAAAAATGAAACCTTCTCAAGGCGCAAGGATTCCATTCTCAAGCTGACCATTGTTCAGGTCTTTCCCAGTAGTTACTCTCGTGATCAAGTCCCTGAATGGGGCAAACTCTTACCACCCTTGTGGCTAATCAAAAGAATGAAGTTTTGATCCACCCAGAGGTATCTTGGAAGAAAGTCTGGGAATCGACTTCTGAACGACCACAACCACTGAAAACGCTCCGGAGCACAGTTCTCCTCTGGCACACACAAGAATGTCATGAGCTGCATTAACTCAACAGCAACTGATATATTGGTATTCCCATAAAACTCTCTGCATTTGGCTTTACATGCATTGATTGAGTCCTGAAGAATATGCCAAGGGAGCAGCCATAACTTTACCAAAGCGGTCTCAATGCCATGCAGAATCACATCATACACGTCCAGTGCATATACTTGCCTTGCCTAAATTATTATGTTCGACAGCAATTTCTCGAAAGAAGAAATAGACATAGTTTCCGTACTCTATGGCATGAAGGAAGTGTGGCTCTGAAAGAAAAACGGAAAACAAACTGATTCCTAAAGGATAATTCAATTAGAATAAGAGCTCAACTGCTAACCATGACTGACAGATGTTGCCGAGTTACAGCCAAGCCAACGAGAACTCCAATATGCCAAAGATTTTGAGAAGTCCCAATATGGGTGTGTTCAAGCTTCAGGGAACCCCACAGTCTTTAATGTCAGCTAATGGACTGTAAAAAGGCCTACAGGGAACTGATCTACAGCAGAGGTCTTTGTTTCAACAGATTTATTCATTAACCTGTTTAACTAGAGAAGGAAACCTCTTTCACAGAGAATAAAAAAATCTTGATTTTTAGACTCCAAAGAACAAAATGACTCAGCAGATATGCACTAATCAATTCTCACTATTAACTTTCCAAGTTAGGTAGGAGGGACTGAGCAAGTATTATTTTATGCATTGAGACCTAGACAATTTGGCACACAGCAGTGAGATTTTTCTGTGTGTGAGGTCACCCATGATAAATCCTGGATGAAGATAATCTTTTACATGAATATTAGCCTCTTCATTCCCCATCAATGCTCCCTTTCAGTGGGCTACAACAAAATAGCTTGTACTTGTACTGAATAAATAATATAAAGTCATGCATGGAACCTCCTGATGCCTTGCTCTGCTTCCACCCGAGTCATGCCACTTCCCTTGGCCCTCCCACACCACTGCTTTTCATAGGTACCTTTTATCCACTTGGAATCATATTTAATTGTGCGAAGGGCAGATCCATCGCCCATGCTTCGGTAAATAACAGCATCACTAGCCAAGAAATCGGCCACTGTGGCAGAATACAGCTTCCCATCTACAACCAAAGTTATAATTTTGGTAAATTAGCCATAATTATCCTGAGATCCTATGTAGCCTGTTATACCTTTTGGAGTATTTACACCTGTGTTATTACTGTGCATCCAAATAAACCCATGCCTGATACTTACAACTCTGTGACAGGCTGACCTATGATATTAACTAATTATATACACGATGACATTAAATATCAAAAAGTTAAGAAATTTACTCCGGATCACTGGTCAAGTTAACAACAGATTATCAGCATACTTATACAATATACTGAAAGATCCTCAGTGTTAAGTTTTCTTTTCTGGAAATTTGTTCATAGATTTCAACCTTTGGAATACCTACTTCCAGATGGCAATACAAGTTATTAGCTGTGTGCGTTTTTTGTTTTTCTTTTTCCTTTTGCTCCTTGAATGTCATTAATCATTTACTTTCATTACACTTAAGAATCTTACCAGCAAAGAGAGCAACATTGGTTTGTCTGGCATCAAATGGGCATCTCGCCAGGCCACTGATTTCTTCCCCATCATACTCTAAGGTATTCAACTACAAAGGAAAAATAAATAGCTGGTGTTATATCTCTTCAATGGACCCGACAGGAAGGAAAGACTCTGTATTTGTACTGAAATTCTAAATGGAGAATAATCCCATGTTGTTGTTAGGTAATGTCCAACTGGTTCTGCCTTAAACTCTATGTACAACAGAAGAAAACACTACCTCAGTTCGTCCATCGTGTTAGAGATCAAACAAATTACTGAGTTATAGCAGAAAGGATTCAACTCTAATAACATACAGTGAAAGAGAAAAAGTTGATTTCTTAAAAAGTAGACATAATAGGAAATACACTTACCCTATAGTATCTACACATGGGGTTAAATGCATTGGTACCACAAACAAAAACCATCTCATCATTCCTTGGAACAAATACTTTAATGAAGTTGTGGCATTCATCCTAAAGCAAACAATAATTATATTAATATCAGACATTCCATATAGGTCTCTGGGATCAAACTCCGAAAAGGAAGAACTCTAGTTGGCACTCATCTGTTCCCCTTACTTTATGCTTGCCTTTCATAGCACAGTTTTCTCGATCCTGTTGTCTGGACCGCCATGTCAGTTTCTGTATTAATCAAGCAAAAATCAAAGTTCAATTTTTACAGTGAAAATTTTTAGAGGGGGGGACATTATTCAAGTTCTGAGGGACTATAAATAAATTTGACAGTGACAGTTGCTCACCTTGCTTGGTATTACTTCTGTTTTGGGGATTTCACTTAAGTTCACTGTATAAACTTGATCCCTGATGGAAACAAGGCAAAAGTCATATCTTGTGAATGCATCAAAATGTTAAGCTGCTTCTTATTTTATTTTTTCAGATCTGCCTTTATTGTGTTTTGGAGATCTGGATTTTCTCTGTCTCAAACTAAGTCAACAAAGGGTACTTTTTCATTAGTGAGATGCTTTTGTATATCACTATAGTTAGGGAGTAAAGAAATCTCTTCTCTCCAGGCATAGGTCAAACTGCTACTTGGTATTAGCAGAGACATGCTTCCAATATTTGCTTGAATAATTCTAAGTAAAAAAAGAATGAAGAAAAAAAATCCTCCCCTGCCACTTTAGGAAGAAAAAAAAAAGAATGGTGCATGATTTCTTGATGGAGGTAATAAAATAGCACCGCTGAAGGCTTTAGCGCTGTATTTTGTTCCTGGTACACAACACTGATTCTTCTCGGTGAATATTTTTGGCTACTTGCAATTTTTGATCACAATCACATATTAGTTTTTCATGAACTAGACACATTAACGCAAGTACCACAAGAGAAAAGAATTTTAATCTAATAAACCAACGAGAGGAAAATTACCTGCCAGCAATATAAAGTGTGTCTCGAATTTTCAACATCAGCTGGAAGTCCAGCCTGTGCTGTGATTCATTGCCTGAAGGGCGTCCTCTAAAAACCGGATATTGCCTTGAATCTGCAAGTAAAAATGGGCTCTACCATCAGTCAGGATTATGGCGCTGAAGAATCAATAAACAACATTGATTAGCTGTAGATACTAGTTGTAGAAGGGTTTCAACTAAATTTCACTCTTAAGGTCCTGAATGTAGATGAATAAAAGATGGTGAAGGTTACCAAATTGTCTTTTGTCGTTTAACTGGAAATACATAATCTATAGATGGGTTGCTTGACAAAAAGCTACTAACATTTTCTCCACACGCTAGGAAATGACTATGGATGGAGTCATATGACTTTAAGACATGCAAAAATCTCTTACTCTCCCCAAAGGAAAATCAAACAAACAAGTTTCCTTCTTGGGAAAAAAGAACTGTCCTGTAGATTACTTACAGTGATAGTCAACGGTGTTAAGAGGTTCATCGTCTTCAGGAAAGCTGACTGCCCTCAGCTGGGAAATCCTAAGCAGCAACATGTAGGCACAAAGTAGGAGGAACTTCATGGTGGGCCAAGATGAACCAAGTGCAGCCCCTCCTCAGAAATCCCAGGTTGCTACCTAGAAAACAGAAACCGTTGGGCAAGATTCATAATGCTGTGATAAAGCTCTGTTCTCATTTATAATCCGCTCAATTTACACCACTGGCTCCCTCCAGCACCCCCTCCCACCAGGAACACTGGCAGTGGTAGATGAGGTGTCTCTGAAGACACGGGCACAAGATGGCAGCCTTCCAGGCCTGATGAGAGCATCCGGTGAGCATATTGCATTTTTAGGCAAATTTGTAAGCATCTTTGAAGTAACTACGTATGTCATCACGGTAAAATCACCAGAACCACAAACAGAAATGCTGGCTGCTGACTTGGCAAGAAGATAGGCAAAGTTGGGATATGATGTCAATTAAATGCCAATCTTCTGCCCTCCAGGTCCTGAAATATACTCAATACCACTTGTCTCTCACCTTTACCATAAAATACTTAAGCTGCCTCAGAAATGTCCAGAGGGCTGATGGCCCCTGTCCACCCTCATTGGTTTATTGCTTCAAGTACTGCCAAATTCACAGCATAATCCCACACTGAGCCCTCAATTTCAAATACAGTTGTTGTTGTTAAGTGCCATCGAGTCGGTTCCGACCCATAGCGACCCTGTACAGGGTTTCCGAGGGTGTAAATCTTTACAGGAGTAGAAAGCCTCATCTTTCTCCCGCGGAGCGGCTGGTAGTTTCGAACCACTGACCTTAAGGTTCGCAGCCCGATTCGTAACCACTACGCTACCAGAGCTCCTTTCAAATACAGTAGTTCCCTAAATTTAGGAAGACCAATACAGAAGCAATGGGATGAATGACCTTCAATCAAGGTGAAAGGGAAACAAAAGAAACAAAGTGATTTCACGATAACCAATCAACGAAAACAGGACAGAAAAGCAGCAGCACAGCTGACACAGGGCCACTGGGGAAGTCTAAATTGTCACCGAATACAATTTGGACACAAACCAGTACCCTAAGTAGGCCCAGCTTCTTAGTTTTATTGAACTTTAGACCTATAGGGGGCTCTAGGGATGATCTAGTCCAACCTCTTCATTTTCAGATGAGAAAACTATGGGCCAGAAAAATGTAGGGGCTCACTGCATTTCATGGAGTTAGCTAGTTAGACACAGTGCGTTAAGCATCTGACTGCAAACTGAAAGGTCGGTTGTTCAAACCCACCAGCTGCTCTATAGGAGAAAGATGTCTGCTACCTTAAAGATTTAGTCTTGGAAATGTTCTTAGGATCGCTTTGAGTCCGAATGGACTCGAAGGCAGTGGGTTGGAATTACGGCAAGCTTGGAATCTTGCTTCCCATAATCTGAATCTCCTCCCAGGATCTTTTGATCTAACCAGATAAAGAAATTCAATGCCTTTTTTTTTTTTTTCTTACAAAATATTTTGGTAGGGAGGATAGCAAATATGTTCATTATCTTTATTGAGGTGATGGCTTTACAGTTATAAATTAGTTTATCAAATTATACATTTAAATACATGCAGTTTTCTTATACCAACTATAACTCAATAAAGCTATAATAACATGAAAGAATAGCAGCAATTGTACAATAATGACGGTCAACAAATGTTAATAAATTTATTCAAATAATACATTAGTGCCCTGGTGGGCCAATGGCTGATATCTTTGTGAGGACTCCAGTTAGCAACAAATACCATCCCCTTCTCCAACTCAAATGCCATTTCTAGCTATGGTACTAAACTCCAGCCTATAACCTTAAGAACTTTAGGGAAAATCACGAGAATCACTTCAAATTCAGAGGGAGTCCAGTCATTCAATCAGGTACTTACTGTGGCTTTTTAGTCTATTTAATGTCATAAATCCATATGTGCACATGTGCAAGCTATGCAATGCTCTAATTGCTTTTCTTTCTAGTTAAAATAGAAATCAAGAACATGTAAGATTTTTAATCCCAGTTTTGCAGCATCAATGGGCTTATGTGTAGCAACAATCATGCAGTTGGCACAGGACTGGGCAGTGTTTCGGTCTGTTGTGCACAGGTTTGCCATGTGTCAGTACCGACTAGTTGGCACCTAGCAACAACAACAACAAAGGTGTGGATTATGAGATAGGCTGCTAACTACAAGGTCAGCAGTTAGAATCTACCAGTCCTTCTGTGGGAGAATGATGAGATTTACTGGTCCTGTAAAAATTTACAGCCTCAGAAACCCTATACGAGGTCGCTAGGAGTTGAAACTGATTAGGTGGCACACAACCACCACCAACACCGAGTGTCTTAATGGTTGATTAAATCAATATAAAATGCCCTATAAGAAACACGGGAAAACTGGTGTGGCACTGTGGATTAATGGGCTAGACTGCAAAGTTGGTGTGAGCTGCAAGGTTGGTGGTTCAAGCTCACCAGCCGCTCCTCAGAAACCCTATACAAGGTTGCTATGGGTGGGAACTGACTCGACGGCACTTAACAACAACAACAATAGGAAACATGATGAAGTGGGGCCTGGGACAGCATCATTTTGTATCCAAGTTGAGAACGTGGACCTTGGAGTCAGACTTCTTGGATTTGGACTAAATTCCCCACTTACTGGCTGAGTAACCTGTGACAACAAACTGTGTAAGCATTAGCTTTTTACTCTATATAATGCAAATAATGTCACCTTCCTCAGAGGGTGAGCAAGAATGGAATGCCTGGCACACAGTGGATTCTGAACAAATTTGTCCTTTCTCCACCCATTTCCTACTGGAAAAGCCTAGATATGACCAGTTTGACCCTAACTGTTTGAGCAGGAGATAGATATGAAAGGTTAGAAAATATTAAAGATTATTTGGTGAATTCTTCTTATCTTTTTTCACAACTGGATAGTTATTTTAAAACATTCAGGGCTATTTTTAAAATACACTTTATCAAGTGTAAAAAATAAAACAATCACCAATAATCCTACCACCCTAACCCAACAACCATGATGATTTGGTTCCAGTGGTTTGTTACATGCAGACACAAAGGGTCTTCAAAAGTTCATGGAAAAGTCCATTATCTTTTAATTTAATTTTTTCCATGAACTTTTTGAAGCCCCCTTGTATGTTTAGCTATTGTGACAAGGTGACCTCTTTGAGTGAGTCTACCATCTTCCCCATCTTCCTGTCCCACAATGTGACACCATTGATAAAGGCCTTAAAAAGTTGAAGCGTTATAAAAATATGAAACATTGTCATGAGAACTATATCCTGCTATGATACCAACCCCAGAGTTTATCTTCTTGATGAAAGTCACTGGATCTTTCTGGGTATCAGGAAAAAAAATCAGAAACACCAATCAATCCTAAAGAAACTTAGAGCTTTCTAATGAAAACAAAAAGAAGATAGTTCTGTGAATATGCTAGCACCAGGTGAGGTAACTGAGGGTTTCTAATCCTGTAGGCGGAGTCTAGATGGCCCAGAGGGCAGGGCTGGGAGGGCCCCTTACCAGGAAGAGTATCTCTCACAGCTGTGACCCAACATTCAGGCTGAGGCCAGCATTACTGCTGACTCATTGGCAAGCACCAAGCTGCTGGCTGAGCTATCATTTCCTATAACTCATTCATATGACACACAGCAAGAAATTTCTCCCCACACCCTGTCCCCCCACCAATCTAATTCTCTAAAAATAAAGTTCCACCACAAACTGCTTCCTGCCTCTATTCAAAACTTTATTTATTTTTAAATTACTTTCAGGATTGCCATGAAATTATACATGGAAGTATTTAATGTTACGCATATATCAAAGTAAGGCTGGGAGTGAAATGGAAGAATCTGGAAGTACCTGAGAGAAATGTACTATGAAGGAGATTTATTTACATGTAGACCCTTCAGACTAGTTGGCTCTTCACTTACTTAAGGAAGTATCTCATGATTGTAGGGCTCAGTTAAATCATGAAACCTGCTATGCTGAATGAGGGCAAGCCAAGAGGCAAGACAAAATGCTGGATTAAAAACAAAACAAAACTCTGGACCCTGAGGTAATAAAAATCTGAGTTTAAATTTGCTTATGTCATGTAATTATTAGTTATGGGATCTTGTTTAAATGTATTTAACCTCTTCAAGACTAGTTTCCTCACACTGTGTGAAGTAGAAAGAATTGTCATTATTAACTCACAGGCTCTTGTCAGGATTAAATGAGATAATTTATGCTTTTAGCACAGCACCTGCCCCACAATAAATCTTCAGTAAATTTTAGTGTGTATCATGATCATTATTACTGCTACATTTTATAAAACAAAATGGTCGGAGGAAGCAATGTTAACTCTTCCATAATATATAACTATTTCCAAAACTGTTTACATATTCCATCAAAAAGATCATAGGTAGATACCGCTATAAGCCTTTTTACACCATGAAGTTCAATTCATTGGTTTTAGAAGATAAGGCAAGGCTTCATACAAGCAGACACTTCCAAAGGGGAGCACAGAACCACCTTTTCATGTGTAAACTGTTAGTAAGGGGCCTGCCTATATGAGGTTCTTCCTTTTAGTAAGCAAGCTGATTACCACGTGAGTATATTTTTTCATTTTAATATTACATACGGACTTCTGATGAGGCACCATAGGATACACACTTGACCTCAAGGTTGGTTTGAACCATAAGGTCACTGGTTCAAACTCACCAGCAGCTCCTTGGAAATCCTATACAGGGTTGCTATGAGTCAGAACCAACTAGATGGCAGTTTACAACAACAATGGACTTCTTCATACATTCCTGATGTTAAAGCCTAAATATTATAAAGGAAACTATTCAAATGAGTTCAAAGGTGCCAAGACAGTTCAGACTTGTATGACAAGGTCCCAGATAAACACAGGTGCAAAGAAACAAATACCATACTCAACATTTGATTTACTCTGAAGGAATTTGCTCATTCGTAAGCTATATGAAAAAGACACTGTAGTTATACAGAAAAGCCAAGATTCTGGCAGTCTCAATTTTAGGACCCATCAAAGAGGAGGAGTCCTAAAAATATGCAAAGGCTTTAATTTGGACCTCTGAAATCCTAAAAGAGGA